GTGAACAGATAAAAGGATGAGAGGGAAGAGACGAAGGGAAAAATGACGGAAAGGAGGAGGAAGAGGAGAAAGAAGGAGGAGAGGGAGAAGAATATGCTGAGGAAAGGAATAAAAAACAAACCAAAGCGATCACCTGCACCAGCAAGAATCACGACAACAGCAACTACGAAAGAAGCAAAAAGCAGCTGGCGCAAGAACCACAAGAAAATCCCTTGCCAGATGAAACTTTTGTCACAGTCTGTCTTGTAGATTACTCACAAGGCTTCTAGGAATACCCTAGCCCTCACACTCCCCATTCCTCACTCCTCACCCTCCCCATTCCTCACTCCTCACACTCACCATTCCTCACTCCTCACACTCCCCATTCCTCACTCCTCACACTCCCCATTCCTCGCTCCTCACACTCCCCATTCCTCACTCTTCACACTCCCCATTCCTCACTCCTCACACTCCCCATTTCTCACTCCTCACACTCCCCATTCCTCACTCCTCACACTCACACGCTGATCTGGGAATGCACAGCAGCACAGATTGATAAGCAGCTCAGTGCGCCGCCACAGAGAGCATGCCAAGGTGAGGTTAAATTGCCCCCAACGAAATGCAGTGCATATGCTAATTGGATTGTAAGACCGTTATCTTGCTTCGGGAGCCGAACAAACACTGCTATGGGATGGAATTGGAGCTTCCTTACCTAGGAGTCACGTTCGCATGGGAGATACATGGGAATTAGCATGCAAAAGGTGTTTATCCGGGGCGAGCACGCTTCTTGGCCTTGAGGTTGATCTTGGGTTTTGCATTTTCACGTATGTAGACACGATACTTTGCCATATTCTTTCTTGCTGTACGTAGTAGAATACACACACTCCCCCCCCCCCCCCCCCACACACACACACACACTAACACAGAACTCTCCACGCAAATGATGAATCCAAAGAAATGCTCTAACCGAGGCGGAATTTGCACCATTCCTATGTATCTACCCTACAGCTATATATATAGTCTCGTGACTATATCGATATATATACTCAGATAGATATAAGATAGATGCTCGATAGCGCTTATTAATATATATCTAGCCTAGATAGAGAGAACGATATATCTTGGTGGACCATGTACATCCCTTCCTCTCTCTAGATCTCGCTCTCTCGAGTTCCCTCTCCCCTCGTATCTCTCTCTCTCTCTCTCTCTCTCTCTCTCTCTCTCTCTCTCTCTCTCTCTCTCTCTCTCTCTCTCTCTCTCTCTCTCTCTCTCTCTCTCTCTCTCTCTCTCTCTCTCTCTCTCTCTCTCTCTCTCTCTCTCTCTCTCTCTCTCTCTCTCTCTCTCTCTCTCTCTCTCTCTCTCTCTCTCTCTCTCTCTCTCTCTCTCTCTCTCTCTCTCTCTCTCTTCTCTCTCTCTCTCTCTCTCTCTCTCTCTCTCTCTCTCTCTCTCTCTCTTCTCTCTCTCTCTCTCTCTCTCTCTCTCTCTCTCTTCTCTTTCTCTCTCTTCTTCTATTTTTTTTCTCCTATTCCCTCCCTTCCTCTAGAGACAGAAAAGAGTGACGGAAAATATAAATCGATGAATAGGATAAATCCAGATAGATTCAATTAAATGCTCCAAACTATTCTCTATCTAACATAGAACTTGAGAAATAATATTGCCTGCATTCTCGCATTCTCCCCATCCTTCGCATCCTTACCGCTTCTAAGGTTACTTGGATGTTATGACATTTTTCCCACAAGGAAGGAAGACAGAAGTAATGTTCGAGATAACAAGGAACAAAAGCGAACCAAGAAGCGTATCTTCGCACGGCAAACTTCCCAATGAACAGGAGGGGAAATCTGACAAAAAAAACTTCCCCCTCTCCCCGACCGGGGCCATTGGGTTTGTCTCTTCCGAGGGAGAAATGGTCTGATCTTACGACAATTCTGATAGACATAAAATGGTATACAGCACCAATAAGGAGCTGCAATGTCTACGCGTCTGTGTGTACAACCTAATGCAGGCGCGGCAGTTAGGACAGCTAGTACGTAGTATGAATCGCCACACAGCATCGACACAATAGACGTATGTTCATTTACATTGCGGATCACCTCTGCATAACACGACCACCCCTTTTTGGCGCAAGCCATTCTACGTACAGTGGAACGGGCAATACCTGCAGAATATGGGCCAGCAGTTCGGACTTTAATTCGAGGGATAAAAAGAAAGAGAGAGAAAAAGAGATATAAAAATATTCTCGAGGGGGAAGATCATTACTGATGTTGTTTCGCACCACTGCGTATTCACAGGTGTACATTACTATTCATATTTATCTCATATGGAAAACAGATGATGCACTGAACCATGACCTGCATATTACAACCCATCATATTTATTTCGGGCAACTACCCCACAGTAAGCATCATCGTTTCGGGAATCTTTTGTGCGACGCTGCACCGGCCGACCGTCCTCCTTTCGGAATTGGTTTTGAGTGAGCGAACTTTGATCTTCTGTCTCCATTCCTTTTTCATATCCCTTCCAC